TCTTCCATAACAGTACACCATTACTGTAAATATCGCTCTTTACATTGTATGAAATTATTTGTGTTGAATTGTTATTTTTCTTCGTTCATTAATTCTTTTTGGATCTACGTAAGGAATTACTCCAAAAATTTTAGATTTTGTGTTGGATGATTATTTAATTCTTTTTGATAACCCAAAATTGGATAGCTTGACAGTATTTTGATGGATTAATACATTACCAGAGTGCTATTATACATTAAAAAAATCAAAATGAGTAAAAACACTAAATATAAAAACAAATTTTATAATGAATTAAAATAATTTACCAAATCACGATGTACAATTCCTTCGCTATGTAAACATAACACAACAGAAGCCAATTGATATCCCAAGTTATAATTATTATCTCCGGTAAAATTATTGAAATGTTTCTTTAAATAATCTACCAGAATCATCAGCGTATTTTATAACTAATAATTTTTGAATAAAAGGAATAATCAAATTATTATTATTTTTTTTTATAAAATAACATAATTATACAGTATATATATATTGATATATATTAAAATATGATTAATTATATAATACCTGACTCGGATTTTGTAACAAATGATATTATCATGAAATTGTATTTCTAATTGAAGTTTATTCTATATTTTAAATATAATTATTGAAAAGTGTTGTATTTATATTTCATTATAACCTCATGAACGATTTCTTTGATAGTAACGTTATCAAGTTTAGAAAAAGATTTAACGCTAATTGTTGTTCTTGATTTTTCCAATTTGCACGATAAACTTTTCCGAATCCTCCTTCGCCAATTTTTTGAATATTACTAAAATATTTGTATTCATAATATTTAAAATATTCTTTAGCAATAGCTTCTTCAATCCAATTAACTCATTCATCTTTATTTTCAGTGTCTCGAATTTCAACATTATTAAACATCATGGAGTACATGAATTATTTTATTGAGCAGAAATAGAAAGTTTGTACCTTGCTGATCACGCAGCATGATTTAAATTGACATCGTTGAAAAAAAACTTGTAATATAGGTAAGATCGGATTTATCTAGGGTGAAAATGGATTAATCCATATTTCATCCTGGATTTTCCTATATTTCATCCCGGATCTTCCCATATTTTATTCCCATATTTTATCCATCACATCCAATTATCAAACCCTGGATTAATCCATATTTTATCCCAGATTTGATCTATATTTCATCCTGGATTTGATCTATATTTTATCCTGGATTTGATTTTATCTTATATTTATTCTTGGGTTGATTATATCACAGATGTTGTAAGTCATGTGACCAGATTTTTTGTTTATATTTTAGAAACTTCTCTTATAACTTTAAAATAAAGAAAATTTCTGTTTACACGAGATTTGCTCCTGGAATAAAATATGGGATAAAATATGGATTAATCCGGGTTTGATAATTGGACGTGATGTAATTATTGGCGAAATTTAAGTAATTAATCCGTGATAAAATATGGAACAGATCCAGGATAAATATTGGAAGATCCGGGATAAAATATAGGAAAATCTGGATGAAATATGGATTAAATTCATTTTCACCCAGATAAATCTGGGATTTGATCCAGGGTTTAATCCCAGACTTTTGATCAGTATGGCGCTTAAGCCGCTTCATACTAAATAAATAAATAGTCGGTACGACTTAATTGAAATTATCTCGTCAAATATTAAAAGTTAACGAAAATTGTATATGTTATTGCAATAACTATTTATTCTTATAGTGAGCAAAAGTATCTTTTTGATATAAATTCAAATTGCCTTTAGTTTATTAGCACTATATTATCATAATAATATCTTAAGATCTTTATTCCACCTGGATGTTCTCTTTCAGCTGATTGTTTGATAATCTAAAAGCTTCTCTATTAATACCATTGACAACATATATATAATTGATAGTAGTACCTAATTAATCGGCTGCTTTTTCACATAAAATAAGCCGCTTATTTTAAATCTCTATACTTTGATTATAAAAATAACCAATTTAGATATTACTCCTTATTTTAAATCAAAAGCTAGCTTTTCATTTTTTATGATTCGTTCCCAAGATGATAATTACTCCAACATAAAATTATACTAATATATGATCTTGTTTTAACGCAATAGCAAACAAATCAAATACTTGGTTAAGGTCTTTTATTAGCTTCGTTCCGATAATAATTAAAACATCCAGATAAGAAAATGGAATTCGAATAATTAAATCATTTTGATTATTTAACAACTAATTATTAATTTCTTTTGAATTTATATTATAATAATCATTCAAATATGAAAATTAAGCAGTATCATGGAAAATTCTCATATTTGTATACCTTTTTCTTATATTCGCTTGTTTTCGTAATTATGGCTTTTAATCTTTTTACTACCTGGTTTATAGTTGAACGAATATCTAAGCTCACTATCCCAACGATCTAAAAGAATGATTAAGTTTAAATTTTACTCAAGTTCAGGTATTTCTAAGACTAGCCAAATCAACGTTATAATCACAATATATTGGAGAAAAAGGTAAGAATATATATTACATTTATTGATACTGTTTCTTTTATTGTGACATTTTACCTCATGAGCGATTTCTTTTACACAGAGACATTGTTAAGAATTAAAAACGATTTCAACGCTAAATATTGTTCTTGATCTTTTCAATTCGCACGATAAAACTTTTCCGAATGTTCCACCAATTTCATCGAATATTACTAAAATGCTTGTATTCATAATATTTAAACAATAGCCTCTTCAATCAAAATTTAACCCATTCATTTTATTTTCAGGTTCTCAGATTTTGATATTTTTAGATATTTATAGGATATGACAATAAAGATTATTTTATCAGAATTTAACCTACCTAATGTTAATACAACGAGCTAATGAGACAGAAAAAGGATTTTTTGTACCTTGCCGATCATTAAAAATTGTAATTAAAGGTGAGATCGACGTTATTTTTTATCTTTTGTCGTGGCATCATAATTACAAAAAATATATTAGTTATTTTCATTTTTGTAATAGTTCAGATGTGCTGTGCAGTAGCAATAATTATCTTCGATCATCAACTTTTGAGGTGATGTGATTTAATATCTTTTCTGGACAACAAAGGAAACGGTGATGGCGGAGATCTATAAAAAATATTAATATATTGATTATACCAGCTTTGCTGTTTGATTTATTAAAGATGGTGAGATAGAATAATATCATTTTTATGTTAGACTATAGAATTTATAAAAATTCCTTTGAGCAGTTAAAAAATAACATGCACTATTTTAATGATATCTCTTTACTACCATCTATTAGGGTGATCGGCACATACAGTACATCTTTTTCAGGGCCGGATTAACATAATGCCAGTTAAATGTGATAAAACCAGCTGGCATTATCAAAAAAGGGAATGATTTATTACTTTTTTTTTTCAAAGGTTCTTTTCAAAATTATTTCATGTCGAAGACAAAGTTTTTGATAAAGAGATTGATGAATATAAAAATTTATAAATAAAGTATCAAATAATTAATAAATTGTTATGACTCTTATCAAAACAAAAAAATTCTTATGATCATGATACTTCTTCGCAAACGGACTTAGCGGCTGATGTAATTCAAAGGTGGAGCCGTGGGAGAGTTTGTTGAAGGGTTCCAAAACATTTAAATTAACAATAAACTAGTGAAAAAAACAAAAAAAATAAAAAATAAAGAGTTATTTCCTTTCTTATAATATTTTAATAATCAAATTATATTGTATTTTCAAATTAAATAATGAAAAAATACTCACGGAATAAAAATATTGAAACAAAGATATATAAATTATATTTTAATATTTGGGCGTAAATTGATATTCTTCTTTATTATTAAGTAAAATCTTTTAAAATTTTCTTTTCTAAAAATGCATAAAATGCATAAAATGTATAAAAATGTATCTTATGTTAAAATTTGTAAAAATTTTGTTTTTCTTTGTCCCAAAAATTAAACAATGTATTCTTGAAACTCTAATATCACAGTGCAAAATCTAAAAAAAAAAAAATCTTCAATTAGAAAAAAAAAAAAAATCAAACCAATAACAAATTAATAAAATTTAACTTAATATTTTTTAGCTCTAATGCATGTACTTATAAAATTTAATCCACAGCAGAAACGTCAAGGGGCTTACAACTGACATACATAATTTTTTTTTAATATGATTTTATATAAATTTCTATCTTCAGTTCATATTGTTACCAATTACATTTTTCTTCATCGTTAAACCTTAATAAATCTAATTAAGTACCTGATTTCAAATTCATGTTACAATTGTTACATGAATATGCACTCACACATGATTTCTCAATTAAAAATTTATAGCAAGTGAATGAATTGGATAATCCTCTTCTTAGAATTACTTACTTCGTTGCGCTTCTGAAATTCCCGAGTTCCGAATGTTCCGAATATATATACAATATATATATACAATATATATATTCGCATATAAAACACAAAAAAGTGAATATTATCCCAAATTATGTCAGGAATAATATTAAATACTTGAATTTCTTGAGTTTACATAATAAATAAATATTTACCTACAAAATTCAATAATTATTTTTACACTCTAATTTTCCTAATAATCTTTAAATATATCAGGAAAAATACCTTCGTCAGACCTATTAGTAATTATTATTATATTACAAAAATGAACCAGAAGGATTTATTAAGCAATCACGTTTTTAGTTAATTCCAAGCCTTTCTCTTATTAGAATACAAATAAAATATTAATAATATCCATTAACAAAATCTTACCTGAATATGTCATCACTACATTATCCAAAGTCTCGATTAACCAGATTAGATTAAATTAAAAAAAATTTTTTTATTGAGATCACGTGATATTATATAAGATCTTATTTTTGAATGTATGTGGCGTAATTTTTTTTATCATTGCCTTTTCTTTTTTTTAAAAAAAAAGATCAATCATCAAATACAACACAAAATTTGAAAAAATTTCTTACAAAAGAAATTGCAAATATGCAAACAACTAAAGTAGATAATGTTAAAAATAATATGGTTACTATCGTAAAACCAATAACTAATCCTATAGTAGAAGATATTCTTCCCACGCAAGTTGAGGATATGAGTGATATACCCGGAATCCGAGTTTCTATGGCAACTATAGTTGACTCTTCTCCTTTCGAAGAACAACAAAAGTTATCTTACGATAATACTCCAAATGATCCTAAAAAAGTTAAAAAAGTAATAAATAAGTTCTTTTCTAGTACTTTCACTTTACCTGAAGAACAGCATCAAATTAAACCATCAAAAGTTTCAACCCAACGAAAGCCACAATCCACTAAACTAACTGAAGCGAGCGTAAGAAATGAGACAAGCGATGCATCACCTGCGATTGATATAACGAACAAGACTAACGAAGATAGCGAGGTTAATGTAAGTAATGAGATCAATCAATGAAATCTTGAAATTGAAACTATTTTAACAAGTGAAACTTGTGTAATAATCTTAGCACAATTGAAAATACTAAAAGATTCATTAAGAAATATTAATAAAGTAAATGAAATTCTCAAATTAAAAATTCTAAAAATTCTTCTATTGTTCAGGACGTAGAGTACATTCAAAATTCTTCAAAATCTCAAAGCTTACAAAACGTACAAGTTACTCAACAACCTGTGATTATGTACCAAAATAATTCTCAACAACTATCTAAACAAAATCCAAACCAAATTACAAATAATCAAACTACTCAAGTTTTTTTACCTGACATGAATGGAACAATACCATCAATTGAAGTTCCACCACCACAATTGCAACAATTATCAATCCCTCTCGTTCAAAATGCATCAGGTGCAATCGGTAATAATGTTCAGTTAATGAACGGTTTAAACACATCTTCCGGTAATTATAAAAATGTACCATCTCCTTCTACACTTACAACATCAAATGGTACACTTGCTGTTAAGTTACTTAACAATAAAAAAGGTTGAGTTACTGTTCAAATTCAATATAATAATAGTATGTTATAATTAAATCAAATTCTTACTTATTGTGTTTTGAATTTTTTTTTTTTTTATGAACTTTTCATAGATGCACAACAAGGTGTTAAAAGACCGCACATAAGTTACAATTCATGTGATTATTATCGAGGAAAAGATTTCAAAAGAGTGGCATATGATAGTGGCTCTGCTCGTCCAGAATGTAATTTTATTTATTTTTATTTATATTTATCAATGTTAACTAAATTCTAATATTTTAATTATCAAATAATTAATAGATGATAGTGGTGTTAGCAGTGGTGGTAATAGTGGTAATGGTAGTATTGATAGTAGTGGTGGCGGCAGTAAAAGTAAACATAGTTATGGTTTTGTGAAACGATGAACACAGATCATATCATTGGACATTTCCCGAGGTAGAGGTAGTATTTTATATAATCCATAGTAATAATGGTAATAAAAGTATGTATTGATGTAATAGGTGCGTCTAGTTTTCACTTTTTTTCCTCTAATATATCTAATATATGTTGTTAAGTCATATCTTATTAAGTAGAATAAAATATTCATATTAATAAATATGTGATGGACAGAAATAATATGCTGAAAAAATGCAAGTTTATTATGATTATAAAGATAAAAAATAAGTAATTGTAAACACAAATTAATTATAAAAGAAGTTATTTTCGAATTTTCTATCACTTTTTCATGTATGTGTATGAAAAGAATAAACGCTTTTTTTGATTGAATAACATTAAATCAAACTGCCTGACATAAAAACGTGATTTATTGATATTTTCACATTTGATCTTGTTTAGATAATGAATTGTTATAAGATTTCAAGGTTGTATTTATTAAATTTATTTGGTCGATATTTAAATTATAACTAAAATTTTAAGAATTTAAAGAGGCTAGGAGACTAATTAAATATAACAATATAAAATAATAATAATAAAATTATTATAAAATTAGATTAGATTAAATTAAAATTAAATTAAAATTATATTAAATTAAATAAATATAGTATATATATAATAAACGCACAAAATAAATAAATAAATAAATAAAATATATATTTAAACATTAACAAGAAATTAATTATTTGTAAATTACTATTTTGTAATAATAATAAAATTATAGTCCGAAGTGTAACTTCTATGCGAAGGTCTCACAAAAATGTCCGTCCGTCCTTCCGGCACGTGAAATAAAACCTTTAAAGGGTTTCCGACTTTCCGTTCCTAGTGTATAAAGAAATAATTAAAATATTAGTCGTCGTGATCTTTACGATTTCCTGCAAATACGATAATTTTATAATAAATGATAATTTATAAGTGAGGACTTTATTTATACTTACTAAGTTTGTAATTCATATCCTCCATATCCACCCATGATGATGACCATTGGGAGAGCGTCTATTTATAATTTTTCATCTTTTATGGCTGTTCCGAAAGAGATAAGACCAAAGAGAAGGGTACAAGATCGAATTGTGTCTTTGAGTTATTTATTTTTTTTTTTGTGGATCTTATTTATTTTCTTTTTCCTCGAAGTGAAGAGCATTTTTGGAGGTTGAAATACCGCATCCCCCTTTGAAATACGTCTCATATTTTAAAAGCTTTTTATATAGATGGTGTACCCGGGGTACAATATAACTTCTGAGGCCAAGTATTTCATATCATACCCAGGGTATCTTGTGAAGTGCGGTACGGTAGTATTTATATATTGTCGCGAACTTACAAACTTTTAATAATACATAATGAACACAGCCTCGGCCCTTAAGTTAATCTTAAACCTTTTGTTTTTGTATTAAAAAAATTGCTTAGCTTACTCGCAAAGGCTTTGTAAAAGTGGCTAAGTAAATGCTCGATTCAAATGCAATTTATTTCTAAACCGAGTAAATAATTCGAATCAATTTAATTTCCATAAAAAGAAAAGATGTAATAAAGAATTTATGGAATACCGAGAGGCTTCGATTTCACGATTTTAATGATAACTTCATCTTGCATTTTATCTCACTATAATAATCTTGTGGCCGTGTGGGAAATGAGAGGTAAGAATTAATTTGTAATTTTGCTTGTTTTATTTTATTTTATTTTATTTTTTTACGCGTTTTTGAAATATCAATCGATTATCTTTTTCTTTTTTAAGAATGGTATATCTTTACTTATGGATTTCGTCAGTTACTTCTGTTTCAAATAGTATTTCAAGGTGTAAGTCTTCGTCCGTATAAAATAATTCAAATAATCCGTGTGAATGAATGATCGAAGGATTAATCATTTAATCTTGGCTTAAAATACGTATGCTATAAGATTATGTTCGATATATCTTATTAGAATAAATTATTCATACTAAGAAAGTATGAGACATAATCACATAAATTATATTAATGCATAAAATGCTTTAACGCTTTTAACGCTTAAGTTTATTAATATTACGAAAATAAAAAAAAAAATTGTTTGCATGAGTTACTTCCATATTTTCTCATTATTTTTTATGTATAGAAGGAATAATAACATAATTTATGATTTGACAACAAAGTTGCCCTTTAATTAAAATTCATTAATTAAATTTATTTTTTATTTTTCGTAATTAAAAATTATTTTTATCATGAAAAAAAAAAAATAAAAAAATCTTTTAAATTACCGGTAAAAAAATTGATTTTATTTCATTTCAATAAAAAAAACTAATATTTTTTAGAATTTAAGAAACTAGTTTAAAAAATTATATATATAATATATAAATTTAAAAATAAATAAATAATAAACGCGTAAAATAAGTAAGTGAAAAATATATATATTTAAACATTTACAAATAATTACTATTTTATAATAATAATATAATTTCTTTTGATAAAGAAATAATAAAATATGGAATCAAATTAGTAATCATTATCGTCGTAACCTCCGTAACTTCCGTAGCCTCCGTAGTCTCCGCGTTTTCCTGTAAATACGGTAATTTTATTGTAAGTATTAAATACATAATATATTTAAATTATGACTTTATTATACTTACTAAGTTTGTAATCACTACTATAACTATCATAACTATCATAACTATCATAACTATCATAACCACTGGGAGAGCGTCTGTTTATAGTTCTTCTTTCATTTCTTACAGCTGCTCCCAAAGAGATTACAGTAAATAAGACCAAAAAGAAGGCAACAAGATTGATTTGCATTTTTGATTTATTTGTCTTTGTTTTTATTAGATTTTATTTATTTTCTTTTTTCTTTGTTTCAAAGTGAAGTGAAGAGCATTTTCTGGAGGATTGAAGCAGTGTTTATATATTTGTCGCGAACCTTATTAACTTATGATTATATCTAATCCTTTTACAAAAAGGCTTTGCAAATAAAAATAAAGGTGGCTAAGCATATGTTCGATCTAAATGCAATTTATTTTTAAACAAGTAAATATCTTGAATCAATTTAATCTCAATACAATAGATGGGAATATCGAGAGGCTTCAATTTCACGATTCTTACGATAACTAATCTTGCATTTTATCAACATGAAGCCTCATAATTAATACTGTAATTCTGTGGCCGTGCCGCGTGGGAAATGGTATTTAAAAAATTATTCGTATTAATTTGTAATTTTGCTTAGTCCCGAATTTGTTTTTATTTTCCCTTCCCGAAAAATTAATCAGTTGTTTTTTTTTGTTTACTTTTTAATAATGATTTATCCTAATTATGGTTTAATTTTGGCTTAGTATGAAATTTTTATTGGTATTTATAGAAATATCTAATACATGTATTTTGATATTCTCGTTTTTTTTTTAATTAAATTATTCCGAGGGAAAACATAATAATTTAATAACCAAATTTAGGAAATTTATTGTGGGGCTTGAGCTTTGGCTTATTATTTGAAACTTGATATTTTAACTATAAATAGTAATATATTAAATATAATGTTTTTTTCTAAATTTTCGCAATTAAATTAATTAAATTAAGATCGTTCACCTCAGCTGAGCTTTGATTTATGTAAGCCACAATGAATATAAAATCGGAAAAATTAATTAAAAGGAACTTTTTGTAAAAAATGTTAAACCATAAATGGAAATTTCGAATTTTAAATAAGCATTTTTTAAACCTAAACCTTAAATTGATTAAATTGCCTTATATAAATTTTTTTTTTTAAATTTTTGCCAAGAGATCTATCATCTGTTTTCCGATTGACAACCAACTTCGCCTCAACATTATCAAATTACGGAAATTCAGTAAAGCGGAGATTTAATTCCATGAATGGTAAAATGGTATAATGGTATAATGGTATGATCTTTAAAATCATTACGCGTAAAATTTGTGGCTTACACTTTTTCTTGGCATTCATGCGCGATGACGATCACGTGCAGTATTCTACACATTATTTCACATGACTATGTTTATACGTATACCAAATACCGAATAGATAACTGAATAAGGAAAGAACATTACGATGATGCAATTTATGTTTGTTTTAAAATTTTATTAGCTAGATAGACAAAAATTTTTTTTCTTAATACAATTTTTATAATCTTTATATTAATAATTTTATTTGTTAGATTTTTCATCAAGTTGTTTAATTTCTTCGGTTAATTTTGTAAGGGGATCTTTGGAATTAACTTCAATTTTTTTTTTCCCTTCACCTTTAACCACTAATATATATATATATATTTTTAAATAATAATAATAATAATTAATAATAATAATAATAATAATAATAATAATAATAATAATAATAATAATAATAATACACATATTCAAATTAATTAGTTAATTAAAAATATATAATAATAATAATAATGAAAACTAATAATATTAAAATTCAAATTACCTCGTTTAAATAATACAAAACTTGTAACTGCAAATAAAGGAATGCTTACCATCATAATTGTATACCTCCTAATTTATTATCAATAATTAATAATCATAATAAAAAGAAAAAAAATATATAATAATTTTTTTTAGGCTAATTACATTCTCAAATTTCGTACGCTCATTGAATGTTCGATTTTTGGATTCGTCATATTTGTACAAAGAAATATGGAAAAAAGAAAATTAAATTAAAAAAAATTTTTTTTTTTTTTTTCGAGAAAAAACCTTTAAGTGTCACAAAAAATGCATGAATAATTTTTACGTCACTGTGGAACCAAAAAAGTTCCACGAGGAATAAATTGCCAATTTTCCAAGCATTGTTCATTGTGATTTTCTTTTCCGTTTATTACCATAATAATTATATATATACATATATATTTTAAACAAAAAAAAAAAAAACTTCATAATCAATCTATTCTTAAAATGTCATCCTACTTGTTATTTGAAATTCTCGAGAATATATTTGATCTTTTAAAAAATGATATGGGAACATTATTTTCCTGCATGTTAGTCAAGAGATCATGGTGTCGAATTATTGTACCAATCTTATGGGGTAATTCATTTAAATATGTCAAAGGAGAAAATACTAGAAAATTAATAGTTCTCTATTTGAAATTCTTACCATCTGAAATGGGTACTCATTATTTAGAAGATCGAATGTTACTAAAAGATGGAAGGAATTTATTATCATTTATTGGGGGAGAATCAAATTTTATGTTTGATTATCCCATTTATTTAAAAGAATTGGATTGTTCTCATATTAGTCAAATTATTGATGAATGGTCTTATTTAATTGTATCACAGGAAAATATTTCATATCCACATCAAAGAGGATTTTGTTCGAAATGGTTTTCAAATAAGCTTATAAGATTATTCATGAAAAAGAGTGTCATGATTAGAACCATGATATCAAATTCGGATGAATATCATTTTAATGAAGTGTTTGCTTTTAATAATGGAGGAGAAATTGGTGGATTTAAATTTCTTCAAACGCTTCATCTTGATTATTGTTGTGATGGACATTCATTAAGGAATATTACTGATGTATGTCATTCTATTGAAGAATTATGGATTTCATTAACTGAAACAAGTGTTAATATTGATACATTGAATAAGTTGATTTTATCTCAAAGGAGGTTAAAAGATTTCAGACTTCGAAGTGCGGTATTCGTTATGGAATACTTCTTTGGAATATCTTATGATCTTTTGGAAGCTTTGATGGTACAGAAAGGAACATTACATACCGTTCAATTCTTTTGTTGTCAATTTTTTAAATGTGAATCGTTAAAACCTTTAGCTGAATGTACAAATATTAAACGATTAGGTTTTTTCAATTGTGAAGGTTTATGTGAAGAAAAGATCGAACCTTTAGCTTCAGGTTCTTTCTCAAATTTACAAATATTAGCAATGGCTGTATATAAGGGATTTTCTACAGATGTAATCGTTAATATGGTCAAGAATTCACAAGAAAATCTTAAAAGAATTTCTTTACCAATGGCAACACCAAATAATCATATGATAAAAGTATTTTGTGATATGATACCTTATACAAAAAATTTAATAGGTATTACAGTTTGTTTCATAGCAGGTGATAATAAAAGTTTTGAATCTTTTTTATCACTTTTAGACGCTTGTCCAAATTTAGAATATTTATGTATAGAAGGTGGTGATACTGAAGGAATTCCATTGGATTTTGATGATGATGATATGATCATAGAATTTAAAAAATTAATTAAAATTATGCCTCAATCAGTTTATCGTTTAATATTTTATAATATTTCAATATCTTCAATATTATTACAAACTTTTTTTGATAATTGTGTTGCAAAAATTAAATATTTGGGTTTTTATGAATGTCCTTTATTAATTGATGAACATATTAATATTATTACGGAATATGTTAAAAAGTCTGATGGTGAATTAAAAAATTTAATAATTAATTGGTGTTATCTTGTAAGTTATTATGCTATTAATAATGCAAGAAAAGTTATTGAAAATGTTCAATTTAGTGATGTTGAACCTCAAGATATGGAATTTACCGCTTGGTTAGAATAAGGGGTATTAAATCATAGAAGGTTTTTTACCATACATTGTTTGACTTGATGGCCAAAGATAATATTTATAATATATATTTCATATTGATATTCTAATATCAAAGTATATTTGTATATAGAAGTTATACATATTATAGCAAGAATTACATGTTTTAATAATAAAAGGATTAAATATATCTGCTATTTTCTAAGATTTAAATCTAATATTATAAAATTTTAGAATAATTTATTTAAATAAAATATAATTTATAATAAAATATTTATTTATTTTTTTTTTTTTTGAACTTGTAATATACTTTAATAAGTTATACAATTCCCTGTAATTATCTTACACCATGCAATATGAGATGTATTCCATAAAGTATTTATAACATGTGATTTTTTATTTTATTATTTACAGCATATAGTTTTATAAATCATGTCATTAGAGTTTGAATTATTAAGACAACAGGTCTCCATTAGTAAGAGAACTAGAATAAACAAATATTTAAGAAATGATTGTATATAATAGTCCATCAAATGCATAAATGCCATGTATCACAGGCAAAATCCTGACTCTTGTATTTATTTTTACATATTACATTATATAATTTATATTAATAAAAATTTTTTAAAATGTTCAAAAATAAAAGTACTAATATTATTAAAGAAAATTTCTTTTAGAGATTCTAAAGTGATAGTTGTTTCAGAACCTAATTTACCATCATCTATAAGTTTATATACCAGAAAGACTTCTTCTTGATGAAGAATTTTATATAATACTAATTTGAATAACCATTTATAGAGAGATCCTATTTCTAGTATATTTCTTGCACTCTCAATAAAACTATGAAAATGCTCTTTATAATTTTCTTTCAACTTTTTTAAGTATCAGTTTGCAACATTATCTGATGCAAAAAAGCAGAAGGATTCAGTATATAATTTAGCTTTATCTGTTTTTTTAAGGTTGATATTTATATGAATTAGTTTGTGAGTATATTCACCACTTGAGAACTATTGCCAAATAACTTCAAATTTCAGTAAAGAAGGTGATACATTACTTTTGTGATTTTTATATTTTCAATTTTAATAAATTGTGTTGTATTTGAAAAATTAATAAATCAATCTACATTAAATTTAATACATTTTGGTAATTTACATAATAAATAATTTATATTTAAAATTTTATTTTGATTGGCTTTAATTTGATATCAATACATAAGATTAAAATTATTAAAATTAAATATTCAAGGTGATGCATTACTTTTATAAGCTACTGTATAAAAATATATCTATATCGGTAAGACTATAAATTATTTAATATTTAAATTAACTTAATATTTCTTAAATTTTTTTTTTTATTATTTTAACTGTAAATAAATGTTTTTAACATCAATAATATGCAAAAATTTAACTAGGAAAAATCAGAAAAAAATCCTTTAGATATAAAATAGACATAATTTTTACATTAATAATGTAAAATATTTTTAATGCAGAAATATATATTAATAAAAATCCTCAAAATTCAAAACCAATCTTATATAAATACAAATTATTTAAAGAAATAAAGGATCAGCTAGACAGATTTTTAAAAAAGTTGGAATTTATAAAGAAATAAAAAATATTTTTGTATATAAAATATTATGTGAAGATAATTATTAGAAATAATAAAAAAAATTTATTATATTAGTTATTATACATTGATTAAAATAATTTATCATTTAATAGGCCTCAATCAGTGTTGTCATAGGGACGGGACATGTCCATGGATGGGATGGAACGGGACAGTTCAGGACACGTCCAAAGATTTTAGCAATGTCTGGGACATTGGAACATTAAAATCATGTAATTTTAATTATAAATTATAGCCCATTAGGTGCTGTCTTGATAAGACAAATTGTAAACTTGGACAATTTTTGGATGGGACGTGGACAGGACATGGACAGAACAATGTCTGGGATATTAAAATTTTGGCAGGACATGTCCCATGTACAACATTGGCCTCAATAGTAAAATATATTATAATATCAATCTTAAATATATGAAATATACAAATATCAAATAAAAATAAATAAATAATATAGTCAAATGTTCCAGATAGTTATATGATCTTAAAAAAAATACTTTATTTAAATATATATTTCTTCATATATCAAAAAACAATCATTAATTAAAAAAGCAAAATATAACAATTTAAGAATTCTTATAAAAATGAGTTCAAAGGAGTTTCAAATATGGTTTAGATAATAAAACTAATTTATTGTAGCAGTCTTAATATAATAAAGTAAAAGAAATAAGAACTAATTAAATAAGAGATTTAAATCACAATTTTTCAGCAAATTGGTATATCCAATATGTTTCATAATGCTTTATACTAAAGGAATAAGTTTCACCAAATAGAATGAATAGCACAGGTCAAAATCAATGCTATCAGATATATATCGGGTATCTTGAGTTCTTTTACTATAAACTCGCCACAAGTAATCATCAAGGATGACATATTGGGAACTAATTAGGTATATATCGGGTATTTTTATATATCAGGTACCCGATTTGTCACATCTCAAAATATGTAAATTATCAAGACCCCGATATCTAAACAATTAGTCGCCGATATTTTGTCTAATATATATCGGGTACTGATATTTGTACAAAATCTTTTAATGAAATTATTACTAAAGATTTTGATGGTAAATTAAATAAACAAAAATCGATTACGCAAGTAACTGCGATTTTGGCATCGATCATGTGACTTATCGATCTGATTTAGTGATCGATAATCTCTTTTTAATTAAAAATTTTGAAAATTTGAATTTTATAAAAGAAAATTCAGTTAAGTCATGATCCGTGAAAGATCGACACAAAATTACTATTAAATTTTGGGGTAAAAATTTGTCGATCATTTATTAAATAAAAATAACTGCTATCATTCGCAATAAGGCAAGTATTACTAAAACAAATTCACAGCTCAACCAGATCACATGACAAGCTGCGCAATAATGTAAAATATGGTTTGACAAAAAAAATTTCATTTAACCGACTTGACGAAAAATTTTTTCTTTGTAGCAGCTGTAGATTTTA